GCTCCTTGTAGCCTCATTGTTCCACCGGCCTTCCTCTCATTCACACACATGTACTCTGTCGTATTATGACTACGTACTACGACTTTCATTCCTCATCATTAAAGTGCATACCTCCACCTCTCCAAGTTCTCTTCCACCTGTTCCTTGTTCTCACCACAGATCACAATGTCATCTGCAAACATTAAGGTCCATAAGTCAACTGTACTTACAAGCACATTTTAAACAGTTCGGTCCTTGAAGGCTCTTGTTCAGTTTCGTAGCTCCTGGATTATGTGTTGTGGATGGATGAGGCTCAGCTACTACCACACAAACAATTAGCTCAGTGTCAGTAAAAATAGCTGAGTTATAGCTATTTTTGTGTTTGCTAATGTTAACTAGCTGTACCAGCCATCTTGAACTGGGTTAATCCCAGCCGTTTATAAGTTGTGTATGTACGTCCACTGATTGTTCTCCATTAATTTCATTAAAACCTGTTAATTAGTTCATGAGAAATTATGCTAACAGACAGATGCACAAAAACACACAGGCAATTATTACATGATTGCCTGCCAGAATCACATGTGTTGAGCAAAAAGGAGTAGAAGTGTAAAAAAATAAGAAGAAACGCAGAGAAGAACAGGTTTTGTAGGTTTTCAGACTTGGTGAGGTCCTGATGTAAAAGCGCAGCTGCAGTTAAAGCTCAGTCACCTGTTTGTTCTATCTGCTCCTCAGTACGTCCAGCAGCATCTGCTCATCTGACTCTTTATGAGAGTCCCATCATTTTAGCACCTTGTTTTTTGTTAAGGTTCTAAAGGTTTCCTCTTCCCTCTGTGGTGAACAGAGAGTTGAGCTGAAAGACAAAGTCGGTAGACGTTCCTAAGCTTTCCAATGGTCAAGAACTCTGGCTGGTGACAGAAAGAACATGATTGTGATTACAAACAGTCAAAAAGAGTTTTCTTTAAAGGGTAGCTGGACTTTCCATTAGAGATAGAGTGAGAAATTCATAGAGACTCAAAGTAGAGTTGCTGCTCCTCCACATCGAGAGGAGCCAGTTGAGGTGGTCTGGTAAGGATGCTCCCAGGATGCTTCTCTAGGGAGGTGCTTCAGGCATGTTCCACTGGGAGAAGACCCTGGGGAAGACCCAGGACAAGCTGGAGAGGCTGTCTTTCAGCTGGCCTGGGAACGCTTTGGAATCCTCCCAGAAGAGGTGGTTGGGAGAAGATGTCTAGACCTCTATGCCTCGCGACCCAACTCCAGAACAAGTGGAATGTGATGGATGGATAAAAATTCAAAAAGGCCAAAATCATTACTGAAGAACCCATGAGCAACAGGAAGTCCAATAGGTAGAACTTCTGCTGAGCTTACATAAAATAGAGATGCACGATATTGGATTTTTGGCCGATATGCCGATAGGTTAAAACTTATTTGGCCAATAACCGATACCAATAAAGATATTTTTCCCTATACCTACTTACAGAGACTACATA